AATTTCACTCGACTCAACTTTATGAGCCCATTATATGTCCTAACCAACATTGCTTTCGGGCGGGTTTGTCGACTATCACAAATCTTACCCAATTTACCTCCACTGATACAATCTATACAGATTTTAGTAAAGCGTGTCAATCAACAACTTTTACTTTATAAATTAATTCATATAGGCTTCAGTAATAAATTACTGTCGTGGATAGCATCCTATTTTATTGATAGGACAAATTAGTTTTATTTGAGAATTGTCAATCTAGCTCTTTTAAAATACCACCGGGCGTTCCTCAAGGAAGTCATCTTGGACCAGTCCTTTTTCCCTTATTTGTAGAAGGTTTGCCGACTTCAATAAAATATTCCCAGTTGATGTAAAGATATTCTTAAAACACACAACAGATTTCACTTTCTTCCGATGTTTGCTAAAAGTTTTCAAATTATCCGCGGTTTTATCGCGCTGGTAGGCTCTAAACGCTTAATCCTGAAGAGATCGAGCAAAAGTAATGTGATTCGCATTGATCCAATCATCATCACAACGAATTTTCCACCGAACTACAGGTACAAACTGAAATAAATCGAAAATAAGAGACGATGTAACTGAACTACATACAAGAGATCTAAATCAAACGCAGATAAATATGAACAAGTTAAAAACCAGTAAGTTCGGACGGGCCGACATTTGAATACCATCCACCAACTAATTTGAAAATTTTCAAAAAATAAAATCCTAAAAACATTCTGTTAAAATTTTAAAAATACCAAATATAGCCCTTATATTGGATCTATACGACGTGGGCCTACATAGGCATTGTTTGTCATAAGCCATTACCATATTCAAATTCGAAACTTGAAATAAACGGTAGCTAAAACTATCAAAATATCGTATATAGGGAGGTACCGTTATATCGGAGCTGTGCGAATACATGGACCTGCATAGACAATTTTCTCTCACAGGCTGCAGCATCCATTACTTCAAATATCACATCTCAAACAATTTCGGTGGGTATTGTACCTAAAATCATCAAAATACCCATATAGGGAGGTACTGATAAAGGTTACTTCATGTTTGAAAAATATACACTTATCGGGATGCAACTTCAGATTATATTTTCTGCACGTCGTGAAGACATCCCGCAGATTTTGAATCATATGAACATCCAATTACAATGAGATCATCCATATACAGGAATGCCTGTTCAGACGTAAGACCAGAAAATTTGGGATTAAGTTGGGTACGTTTGAGATTACCGAACTACGAGGACGGAATTCCAAATGTATTGATTTGCGATAATCTATTGATGTTTTGCCATTAGTAGGCAACGTTTGGGTTGCTTTTGGTTGTTGGTCCGTTCAGACACTGGACCCCGTCTTGCGCCAACATCACAGTGGTAGTTGTAGCGAAACAAGCTAACGAACATGAGTGTTTAATTAACTTACACGCTTTAGGCTCCATTCTTTACCGTTTTGTTACTTGAAAATTGTATTATTATAATTGTTGTTGATATATAATTTCATTAGTTGTTTTTTTTTAGATCCGTTGCTTTCTGCATCATTCACTTGTTTCTTTGTCTTTTTTTAACAAAACCGAGCCCTTTTTCTTTCTCTTTTCTATTTATAATTTACGAGCTGCAACTACAATGGGAGTAGCAGTCAAGTGTGGAACTGCCGAGGTAGATGTGCTTAATGTATATATCCCACCGATTAATAGCTGTGAACCGCGTTATTTGTCATATATTATTAGCCCATTGTTGGTAGGCAATAACGGACCGAAGTATACATAGCGGACCGAAGTATTCCATCTTCATTCATACTTCATCTAATACAGATAAAAATATTGGTATGTGTAAAATTGGAAGGAAATCGAACATTTATATCCACTTGTATGCAAAATCATAAATTCCGATAACTTACATATTCATATCAGATTTCTGGCTAAGACAAATGTTTAGATATACAAAGTTGTAAAGAATCGCTGAATTGTTTCGCAAGTTACGGCAGATAAAAGTATTGAAAATTGTGATTCTTTGTGGGTTAGATACAAGAAGGGGTTCGCAGATATATATTATCTTCACAATAGATCTTGTGTTAACAAAAACATTTGGATGTATGAAATTTGAAGAGTTGGATGCTTATTGTACTTTCTTTGAGCGTTTGGTTTTTTTAAAGTCTTGAACCCTATGTGAAGGAGTTACCATCAGAAATTGTCCGATCAGTACCATCTTTATAACAGATCTTGTATTGATGGGAATAGAATCGAATGTTAATTTCGCGTTTTATGAACTTTATGGATACTCAAAATGTTGACCCTATGTGGGGGAGGTACTAGAAGGAATGGACCGATATATCCCAATTTCACACCAGAACCTGTCTTAACTAAAATATTGTGATGTGTGTAATTGGATGAGAACCGAATGCTTATTTCGGATTTTATGATCGTTTTGGTTATTCAAAACTTTGACCCTTTGTGTGGGAGGTACCAGATGGAATGGTCCGATTTCTACCATCTTTATAACAGTGTTGTGTTGATAGAAATATTGAGATGTGTCAAGTCTGAACGGAATCGGATTTTAATTTCATATTTGATGAGCTTCATGGATATGCAAAATGTTGACCCTTTGTGGGGGAGGTGCCAGGAGTGGACCGATATATTCCATCTTCACACCAGACCTTGGGTTAATAAAAATATTGTTAAGTATGTTGTTTGAAGTCAATCGAACTCTTACATCACATTTTATAAGCGTTATAATTATTCTAAATTTTGACCCTTTGTGGAGGAGGTACTTGATGGAGTGGACCTATATCGGAAATTATTCTTTCTCTTTCTGTGCAAAAAATTAAATTCTTTGAAAATGTTGTTCAAGGAGGCCTAGGATCTAAATCCGTTATTTCGATGAGGCACGTTTGGGCCGAATCAAATGATATATACCCTCTGTAGCCATATGGCTGAGGGTATAATGAATGCCGTCCTCGGAGTCCACCATCCATCCATTGCAGCCGAAGATCGTCAGCTGCCTAGACAAACCTGGGTAGTTTTGGCGCAATTACGTTCAGGATGGTGTAGTCTCTCAATTTGTATTGGGAACGAATTGATGAAGATGTGCATGACGCCTGCCCGGCGTGTGATACAGGCACGCACAAAACGCTACACCTCTTTATTTGCACAGCCAAACCTACCCAACTCACTCCAGAACATCTCTGGATACAGCCCATCAAAGTAGCCGAATTTCTAAACCTGGAGCTGGAACCAGATTAGCAGAACGCAAACACTTGCATGTACTACTGCTACAACAACAGCTATCTGCGATAAATTGAAAAGTAGAAACAAAATCCTCATGACTCCAATGGACCATTTACATGAGGAGACAAGTCTTCTTCTCTTACGTCAGCATAATCATGCTTTTGTTGCAGTGTCTGTTAGGGTGTTACCGTCTGAGTCACCCCAACCATGTGTGTCAGGAAAGCATGATGTAAAGAGAGAGAGAAAGGTGCAGAACGTTTGCCCATTGTGCGATTCAGGCCCACACAACATGCTGCATCTTTTATTTGTCCTGCCAAACCGATTCAACTCATTCCAGAGGATCTGTGGCTACAGTCCATAAGGTAAGCAGACTTTCTAAACCTGGACATTTAAGCGGAACCATGCTAGCAGTCTATAAGAAACTAACACATACGGCTAACAGTTGCAATAAAAATATTGCTGTATTACATAAACTGGAAAACAAATATGTTATAGAGTTCCCACATCGAAAACATAGCAATATTTTTACATTTTGCGTTTTTAAATCCTTTTCGGCAAAACAAAACAATAAAAATCGTTGATGATGCATTTTTTACAACAACAATACCAATATCAATGAACAAAACATCGACTTCCATTCAGTCTTTGGTGTTTATATAGGTTTACGTTTTTCGATAGCCCCCATATGTCCATTTCCTTTCCACTTACCCCTCTCTAATATAAACAAAAATATTTCAATTCCTTTGTTGACTTAAAATGTTTATTGGAAATTAGTTCAAATTTTTCACTTCCGAAGGACTTGATATGTTTATTGAAAATTAGTTAAAATTTTTCACTTCCGCAGGACTTGATATCTATCACCAATTTTTCCATTCTACTAAAAACCCCAGAAAAGTTAATTGAGTTTACCTCCGATCTAATAGAGTGAATTGATCTTATGCTTAACGGCGGAATAATCAACTCACGCAATGAAGAAAGCTCCATTATTAGATCAGAAACAAAATTGGTTGCAAACGTTGACAACGTGATTTTAGTGATTGGCAAAGAATTCTTGAAAGAATCTCAGAACTTATGAAAGAAGCTTTTGTTAAACTGTGAAGGAGGCACATAAAAGGTGTCCCAACAAGAACACAATTTTCACATTTTAAATAAAACACAGATATTTGAAAAATATTGGAACTTTATTATATAGTAAAGTAGGCAAAATGAGGTTTGGTGTGGAACAATATATCGTGCAGATGGCCGCTGTCAATTGTTCGGAACTACAAAACTATAAAGGTTAGATACATACTAGTGAAGAAAATCTCTATTTCACCGGAACTGCACGTTTTTAGAAAGGCAAGGGGTGTAGGCTACAATGTAGTACGTAAACATTAGTACCCATAATGGGTCCATTTTCGACTTTTTAGGGGTTTTCAAAAAAACTCCCATACAAAAAGGCTTTTTTCATTACTCCGGAACCGGTTCAATGAAGACCACCTGTTGCATATATATTTCCATAAACTTTCAACTGATACCCTTTTAAATTTCGGGTTTTTTCCTCATGAAAATATTACTTTGTCGTAATCAGGTTAAAGATGCCTACATGTGATGAAAATTTCAGGTCAATCCGACATAGCCCCTAAACACAACTTGCTCCAATACCTATCTGAGCATGACACAAAGTCAACTTGTGTTATAAGGCGACCACAAATAGAATAACATCAATGCGTTTATCTATATTTAAAACAAGGCATTTTGAATTCCATCAGTTTTCTAAGACCTACCTGTAGATTTTTTTTCAAATCAACCGGTATCTTGCTGGTATACTCAACCTAAGCCAACATGTTTATATCACTTCGTGTTACTTTCGTTAAGCCAATCTATATTAAATGAGAAAAAATAATTGGCATAAGAATCGAAAAACATACAAATCTGTATCACTTACCTTGGCCGGGCTGTGTTGTTATCGAGTTTATTCTTAGTTTTTTTTTGACGATTATTGATATAACATTTAATATCTCTTATATCTACGCTCTTTAAAAAACACTGAATGTAGAAAACACTACCTTATTTTTTTAATAACTTAATCCTGAAAAGCTTTTCACTTGAAACATTTGGCCGCACCAATCCAAACGAAAAGAGAATAACAAAAGAGTTTTGCGAAGTCGAAACAAAATAAATTGGATTATACTTGTAAGTTCCACAAGAGATATAATAACGTTTTTATAAATAAACGTCTAGTTATTACAATTTTGTATATACATATCAAATGAACTATTTACGTCATTTTACATAAATAGTGCCGTCCGTACGTTGCTATTGACATTACGAATTTCTTAATTTAGCTCTTTAGTGAAAACGTACGAGCATTGACAATTTGTAAGTAATGTCGTAGTTTCATGGTAGAAGAATGCAGGTAGATGCATCAACGGTTGGTAACATTGATATGTTAAAAATTTTTAATCTTTTTTTGTCAAAAATGAGTAGATTTTTATATGTGTTCTTATACGATATGCATTTTTCATAAGATTTTACAAATTTCAATTTCATTGAAAATTTATAATTTTTAAATTGGTTTGACAGTTCATTGCCCCAGTAGCTGTCTTGCTGCGACTACTGTAATCTTCTACCACGGTATAAACTGTATTGTGTTTGATTCACCCATGTTGCCATACCTTCCGTACGACAACGTATCATACTGCTTGATACATTTGTCCAAGTTGGCATTCCTTCCGTATCCAACTAACACTGCCTTTACACGGTGACATTTTTTAACCATGCCATTTTTGTTTGTTGGTAAAAGGTGTAGAGAGACAAGGATAGAAGAAAAAATGGCACGATGAGCCACCGCACAGGGTTATATGCCATTTTCTTTGCATTTCTCTTTTTGCTTCTTCCGAATTTTTAATGATTTTGACATTTCATATCGCTTCTTTATTGTAATTTTTGATGCGTTTCTTTTATTGTGATGTTTTTAGTGATTGAATTATATGAAAATTAATTGGAAGTATCAAAAAGTAAATAAAGAAAGTTAAAATAAAAGTTAATAATGCAATATTTAACACCTCAATAACTTTTTCCATCATTTCTTCTTTAGATTCACACATTTAATTTTAAATCACTTCTTTATAAATATCTGTTACAAACAATTAGCTCTATACGAAATACTGAATAAAATAAAATGTCAGAAAAATGCCAAGCACTATTATCGTAAAATGCCACTGTGCAAAGGCGCGAAGATTTACGCAGAAATTTTAAAAGAGAATTGATAAAAATGCCAGCTAAAAATTGCACCGTGTAAAGGCGGTGTAATAGTATATTTTTACTCAAGTCACAATACCATCGTATGTTACTTTACACACTCACTTTATTGAGGTGTGTTGTCCGCACTACTCCGAGATATTAAGCATGAATTATGCTTACTAAGCGTTTTCCGCGCTCACTTTATTTTTCATTTAGCTTAAGTTAATTTTTGTAAGATAATATTAGTTCAGTTCTAATTTGAATAAAGTAAGGTGAAATCGCATTTAGCGGCTTCCCCAATAAACCCAAAAGAGTTTTAATTTCATGGCGATCCTGCAAAAAAAAAACTAAAATTTATAAAAGTGGTGCACCATGTATAATGTGATTTTGGATAATCTATATATATTAAACACTTAAACTATGGGCCGACAATACGGACCGGGCGAGCTCGTAAATTATAAATAGAAAAGAGAAAGAAAAAGGCATCGAATTTGTTAAAAAAAGACAAAGAAACAAGTGAATGATACAGAAAGCAACGGCTCTAAAAAAAAAACAACTAATGAAATTTTATGTCAACACAATTATAAAATACAATTTTCAAGTAACAAAACAGTAAAGAATGGCGCCTAAAGCGTGTAAATTAATTAAACATACATGTTCGTTAGCTTGTTTCGCTACAACTGCCACTGTGATGTTGGCGCAACGAAAACCAATGCAAACGTTGCCTACTAATGGCAAAACATCAATACATTATCGCAAATCAATTCATTTGGAATTCCGTCTTAATTCCGTCTTAATCGCAAAGATTCCTGGCTACAGCTCAACGAAGTAGCGGAACTTTTAAACTTGGAGTTAGAGCCGGAACCGCAATAACAGAACCAATCCTTACAACAATATCAGCAGCTGCATCAGTCATCTATTGTATCAGCGGATTAATTTTCATCCAGTTAAACACCACTTGAGGAGATTCCAATCTTACTTTTATGTATGTAATGTATGTATGTATTTATTAATGCATCTTTATATGTATGTATTTAACTGTAGTAAAAAACAACATTTATGTATTAACCCCCTATGCGCTTTGCTACACCTTTTGACTTTATATTCATAAAATGTTATATACGAAAATTTTGTGGATTTTAAAATTTTATTAAAAAAGACAAGAAATAAATATTTTTAAGAGAAATTCTCTCTTATAGTTTCACTCACATCTTAAATGATATTTATTGTTTCCATTCTATTAATGTTCTCTTTATAACGGAAAACTTATCCGATTATAGTTCTATACAGAAACAATGCCCTCCGGGCGATCGTAGTGAACAAGTATTGAAAAGGCAAAAAATAAAATTTTGCTGATTTTGCAAAAAAAAAAAAAACGTTGAACTGACTTATGTACTGAATTCTCAGACATTTTTTCAATGGAAACCGATAAAATCTCAACTAATAATTTTTATAAATAACAGTTCCGAGTAATGGATGATACCCCTATTTATATAAAAAATTATAAAATTCCACATATTCAAAAACAGGAAATCAAAGCTCAGGTTGACAAAGTAATACAAGATGATATTATAGAGCCATCATTTTCATGTTACAACAGTCCGGTATTATTAGTCCCAAAGAAATCCCTTGCAGGTAACTAAGCAAAGAGATGGCGAATAGTTGTAGACTACAGACAAATTAATAAAAGGTTAATAGCGGACAAATATCCCTTACCAAGAATCGAAGATATTCTAGACCAACTAGGTCGAGCAAAATGTTTTTCCTGTCTGGACCTAATGTCTGGATTTCATCAAATAGAATTAAAAGAGGAGTCTAGGGATATAACTTCATTCTCCACGAATGAGGGATCATTTCGCTTTAAACGTCTCCCTCATGGAATCAAGGTTGGATGCTCAGAAAAACATATGATTCAAAATCTGCGGGATGTCTTCACTTCGTGCAGAAAATATAAACTGAAGCTGATAAGTGTATATTTTCCAGACATGAAGTAAACTTTTTGGGTCATAAATGCACTGACAAGGGAATTCTTCCCGATAACTCAAAATATGAAACCATCGAAACATATCCTACCCCAAAAAGCGCGGACGAAACTAAAAGGTTTGTTGCCTTTTGTAATTACTACAGAAGATATATACAGAATTTTGCAGAATACTCCCTGCCATTAACAAAACTAACTAGGAAAAATGCAAAGTTTGTTTGGAGTGCCAAAAATGCTTTGAGTATTTAAATAATTCACTTTTAACCCCAAGAATACTCCAGTACCCCGATTTCAATAAACAATTTTGCATTACTTCCGATGAAAGTAAATATGCATGCGGTGCCATTCTAAGCCAAGAGGATAAGGGTGTACAATTACCCGTGGCATATGCATCAAGATCCTTTACCAAAGGTGAAAGTAACAAATCTGTAATTGAACAAGAACTCGCAGCAGTACATTGGGCAATAAAATACTTCAGACCTTACACATATGGTATAAAATTTTTGGTGAGAAGTGATCACCGTCCATTGACCTACTTGTTCTCTTTGAAGAATCCATCTTCAAAAGTAACCCGGATGAGATTGGATCTCGAAGAATATGACATTGAAATACAGTACATAAAAGGAAAGGACAACTGTGGAGCCGATGCCCTCTCCAGAATTGATTTTGACAATATTAAGTATATAAAGAGACTATATATGGTAACAACGTGTTCTAAATCAAAGAAAGACCAAACACAAAAACTAAAAAAATTAACAAGCGTGTTAGACATTCCTGGGGTCTACGAACCACTAAATGCGAAGGAGGTATAGAAAAGTGTTCGCCTAAAGAATTCCCTCTCTGGTACAATTCCAAAGTGTACCCTTAAATATGAGAGAAAAACTTTAGAAAATGTAAAGATTGATGACCTTATTGCTAATGGAAGCTTTGATCTAAGTCAATTCATTCCTAGGTTGGAGAAAATAACCAGTAATAAGGGAATATTCAAATTGCAACTCTCATTAAATGAGTTATTTAACGCCAAAATTAGAGAGAATATCTGCTGACGAGCAGAAAAGAAAACTCCTACAAACGTATCATAATGACCCATTATACGAAGGTCACCCTGGCATCAAAAGAATGTCAGAAAGGCTCCGCACTAAATATCGTTGGAAAGGAATGTCTAAAGACATCAAAAACTATGTTAAAAATTGCAGTAAATGCCAATAGAACAAGTACCTTAAGAGGACGAAAGAACCCAGCAAGTCCCTTTGATATTCTCGTTATTGATACAATAGGTCCGTTTATTCAGTGAAACAGCGGTAACGAATACGCTGTGACAATAATATGTGATCTCACCAAGTACCTGGTAACTATACCAGTACCCGATAAAACGGCAAAAACTATAGCTACGGCAATATTTGAAAACTTTGTACATACATATGGATCAATGAGAAAAGTTTTAACTGACAGAGGAACTGAGAATAAAAACCAGACCCTCCAGGAACTTTTTAAAATGTTGGATGTGAAACATGCCCCTCGACAGCATACCACCATCAAACAGTTGGATCCATAGAAAGGTCATATAGGACATTTAATAAATATATTCGTTCTTATGTGTCATTGGAACGAACGGATTTGGGCAACTGGCTTAAATATTTTACATACTGTTTTAATACTACTTCATTAACTGTCCATGGTTATTGTCCGTATGAATTGGGTTTCGGCAAAATTCCGACTACCATTGATTCTCTTGACCTAAGCACTGTAGATCCACTTTATAATGTTGACTCTTATGAAAAAGAAGTGAAGTACAGACTCCAAATGGCAAGACACCGAGCAGCCAAAATGATTACTCAATCAAAATTCTCCAATAAATTACAATATGACAAAACGGACAATTATTTACACGTACAAATTGGAGATTTAGTACTAGTAGAGAATAATGGCGGCCATAAATTGGAACAATTATTCAAAGGCCCCTACTCTGTCGAAATATATCGATTCTAATGGGAATTGCTCACTGTCATTGTCGGACAGAAAAAGTATTGAAATACATAAAAACTGTTTAAAATTGTTCAATGCATTAAGCAATAACTTGAATAAAGAACAAAAATATTAAAAATACTATTTTTTTAACTGCCTCTTAAATATAACTCTGCCTCTAAAATATACGTACGTATAAATTTAGCATATACATACAATAAATTATAATACTTACATAAAACATAGATAACTGGCTAGTACCTATGAAAATATAATAATATAATATATAGTAATAATATATATAAACATACTTTGATCTAAATCCACTTTAGAGCATTTAACTTTTCAATTCGACTTAGTAAACTAATATATAAGAATACATCTATTAAATAATAAGAAATAGGTATTTATGTAAAAAAAATGAAAAAAACATATTAAATCACTTAAAGTAAAATTTAAGCCAGACAACACAATTATATATATTTACATAAAACACTATTTGATTTTTACTAACCATAAATTATATTTTAAAAATATCGCTTAAGTCAAAAAAATCTATTTTTCGTTATTCTCATATAATATTGTGAACGTATTTAACAAGTAACGTTAAATATATTTGTAAGCATTAGTCTCTATACAAAAGGAAAAATATGAGTAATTTGTAAACATTAAACTAAATTTTAAAAATAATCAGAACTAACTAACTTTAAATGAAGCCAGCACTGACTGTTAATTGTAAATTTATATGAATAAAATTCATGAATTATAAAATTTAATGAATTAAATTCAACTAAGAATAATCAATTTAAACCGTTGATTATTCTTTGTTAAAAAGGGAGGCATATCTTCTGTTTCCAACTAATAGTATGCTTTTACTCATGTTACAATACCTTCAGTATGTAACTTTACACACTCACTTTATTGAGGTGTGTTGTCCGCACTACTCCGAGATAGTAAGCATGCATTGTCCTTACTAAGCGTTTCCCACGCTCACTTTATTTTTCATTTAGCTTAAGTTAATTTTTGTAAGATAATATTAGTTCAGTTTTAATTTGAATAAAGTAAGGTGAAATCGCATTTAGCGGCTTCCCCAATAAACCCAAAAGAGTTTTCATTTCAAAACCATGGTAATGAACTGTGTAACCCATGGTATAATTATTACAGGTAGCATCAAGCCTCAGCTGATTTGACTCTATAGTAATACTATTGTCAAACTCGATATAACGTTTTGTGATTAAATTCCATTTCTTGATATACAATAGGTATACACTTTTTTATATAAAATTTCACTGCTGGACAATGTGAACCTATTTTTTTCCTAATAATAGAAAAAATCTCCTTTGTACTTAACAAAACGCCAACGGCGATGGTGCGCTTAAGGAACAACGACATAACATTATATAATCTAGTAGTATATTTTATGTTTCCTAAAATTGCAAAATGTAGAATGCTTCATTTATGTTTGCAGTTAGGTTTCAATTTGAACGGGTTGTTGCCATGATCGTATCATACTACAAAAAGCAAAAAGGAATATTAGGGAGGCTTTCATATATATTAAATAACAAATACTTACCTCAAAACACTAAACCACTTCTATATAAAGTAGTGGTTCACTATATCTCCAATTGTGGCCAATGAATTAGAAGTCTTCAAAAGAAAAGTTTTAAAGAAATGTGTTCATAAACACTATATAAATGAGGAAAAAACATTCGAACACTTACATTTACAATACAGCTGGTATTGTCCCTCTGTGTAAATACGCTCAAAATCTTCAATCAAAATTTGTTGAGAAACTTGAACATCACGAAAATCACCTTATACACGAAAACTATCATTCAGAAAACAGCATATATTTGAGAGATACTTCTTCCTATCCCCGGTTGGAATTGCAAATGAATCCCCCGCTATAGATTCGTAAAGCTACAATCAACCAATTAACATTCTATATCAATTAAATACTTACCATATTGTTGCTCCACTGAGCACTCGATTAATTTACATTAAATGCTCACCAGCGATATTTTGATATTTTTTTAACTTTTAACTGGAACGAATCTATCAATTTCTCGTTGTTATTCAGTTTTTAATCTTTGTTCTTATCCTAATATTTATTACCATTCAGACATCATCGCCCTGTTCGTAATTGCTGAGACCGCGAGTAAGTCTCATTCTCTTTGCATTGCTCTCTTTTGTTTTTTATTAACATTATACCTCATCCCGTTCGCACGTAGCATATCGATACACAATCATTCTAAGTTAGAACAAGGCAATAGTAGTTCTATGATTATATGTTAATCACTCACATTAAATGTCAACATTATCAAAGATAAGAAGAAGACTCAATAAGAAGAAGACTCAATACAAAGTAAATTTTACAGTGACGAAGAGTTTTCTTGACCAGTGACTTTAATCCAAATATCGATAACTCGGACCTTATTATTCGAGTCATCAACTGATTTGCACCATGCAAAGTAAGTTTATGAACAAAGTCCACCAACAACTGGTTAAAAATTGCTCCATGTGGCAAAATTGTACGAATCTTCCATTGGTCTAAGGTCAAAAGTGAAATTGTTGATGAAATTCGTGTATTTTTCTTCAATGCTTCATATTCGATCTTATAGAAGAACCTCTGAGTCTGTATTATGCTTGCTCGTTTTCCATCTTGAATTTTGGCAGCTGTAAGCTCGGTTGACGTCATCCTAAGTTGTCTGTTTGATCCAGTGTTTTTCCTGAACCTCAAAGCATATGCGTATGAACGATAAACTTCGGCTAACGATTAGAAATTCTTTAGAGGGTCATCTTTTTCCTCAAACAGCGTAAGAGTTTTGACTGCTTTTGCCTCTAAATTAGTATCGCTTTCAATTGGATTTGATGGCCAACGGTCCTTGGGCAATGTGAGTCAGTGTGGTCCATGGCACCAGAGTTGTTGACTATGCAATTCGAGAGGTGAACATCCTCGGCTGGCTATATCAGCTGGATTGTTTTCAGAGTCACTGTGCCTACAGTTCTCTTGACCCACGCCCTCAGAAATCTCCAAAACTCTGTTTCCCACAAATGTGCTCCAATGACAAGGTGGCTTTTTTAATCAAGCCAACACAATCCTGGAATCTGCCCAAAACTGAGTCGTATAGTGAGAAACTTGTAGATTATTATTTATTATCGATACTGCCAGTTTGGACAACAGAACTGCACCACATTATTCCAGTCTAGGAATAGTGAGTTTTTTGACCGGAGCTACACGGGTCTTTGCAGCTAACAAGAATGTATGTGCGCTTTTGTCAGTATTTTCGACTCGAATGTATATTGCTGCTCCATATGCGTTTTGCGAAGCATAACAAAAGACATGAATTTCTACCGAACTGTCTGAGGTGTATTAAATCCATCTTGGTACTTATGTTTTCTATATTTTGGCTATTTTTCACGTTACATCCCAATCAATTGTCCAGCCAGATTTGCTGCATTATCAGCTTTGCTACAACCAGCACTGACGCCAGACATCCAGAAGAGTCAAATAATTTGGCTACTCTTGATAGGACTTCTCTTTTTGTATATTTTTCTTGATTTTCCATTTGTGGTGGCGTAAAAGAGAAAAAAATTAAATTTATTTATAAATATCTTTGATTACATTGTGTTCATTTGAGGCCCATTTCATTAGAGTAAAATATAAATTATTCAATATTATATCCGCTGCTCTAGGGTGAGAATCTTTAACATCCTCTGCTAACTTAATGAGAGTTCTCAATGCCAAAATACGTTGTGCAATTTACTCCAAAGGTCACTGTTAGCAATTCGTAATCCTCTACAGGGTCTGATGGTGATTTCCTAAATAAAATCCTTTGATATTTTATTTGCCTTACGTCTAAAGCGTTGTAATAAGATCTGGTTTTATAACTGCGTGATGAGGCAAATAATAACTGCGTGATGTGGCAAATAATAATAATGAGTATATCGTTAATTTCATTTAGTTTAATATTCCTCATATGGCCAAATCGAGGTAATCGAGTATCGAATTGTCCTACTGTTCCTTGATATCTGGTGTTTTCATAAGTTTCCTCTCTATTCGATAGAATCGAGCTAAATCTATCGAGCTAAATCAATATCCCCAATTCCTCGCATTTTTAAATGGATCTTCCATCCTTGTTCCGTATTGTTGTATCAATAAAATTTCGTTTCGCAATATTGGGCTTCTTCTGACCGTAAAACCTTTTTGGGGGCCTCTTCCAACTGCCAAAAACTTGTAAGTATTTTCTCAATATATGTTGTATTTAACAATGCAATTTGTTTTGGTTTGATAGCATTTCCAGGTATGGGTTCTTCAACAATCCATCCAAATTTTGTACTTTGAGTTAAAATTGATCCATAAGTTTTCATTGGAATCCCAAGCGTAAATATCAAAGGTCCTATATCCATACCGATGAGTAAATCAATTGGTTGACTAATGTAGAATTTCGGATCAGCAAGTTCCAATGATGTTAAATCTCTAAGTTGTGATTTGTGGTGGTAGATTTGATGGTAAGTTATTTAAATCTGGAACCCAAACTTCCAGTTTAAAGCTAGGATCGAATTTGGATCGTAAGATAAACATACAAGATTTCGCTGAAACGAAATTGACTTAAGCCAGCAACATGAACTAAGCTGTTCTTTGTTGGTAACTTCAGAAGATTTTTAAGTTTTTCCGAAATAAATGTTGATTGTGATCAAGAGTCTATGAGCGCTCTGGCATCGTAAAGTTGTCCTCCGGTTTCTATCTGCACTATGGCTGTAGAGAATAGCGTACCTCCAGATATTTGCTGACTAATTTGCTAAAAGCTGTGACCGTAGCTGGTTCTAGGTTTGGTGTGAACTGTATTTACTTTGTTTGAGCGGCGGCACTTGTTCCACTCGAGCTAGGTATGTATTTGTAGATTGAGTTTCCTTTCCCTTATGTAACATTGTATGATGTCTCATTTTGCAAGTTCGTCATCCAAATTGACTTTTACAATACCTTACACCATGGTGCGCTGACAAGCAGTTATAGCATGAATGAGATGTTTTCACGTTATGAATTCTATCATTTACATTTTTTCTTAAAAACTCCGTGCAATCTCTGACAAAGTGATTAGCCTTGCACACTTGGCATGTTTAGGCATTTTGTGTATTGTTCTTTTTACGGTTCTGTTGTTGATGCTGCTGCTCCCAAAATTTTCGTATTCTTTGTGACATTTGTTTGAAATGTATTCGAAAATCTTGGTTTGTTGTAAGTGGGTTGTTTCTGCTGAGAAAATTTCGAAGTCGTAGGCTTTATACTTCCAACGGATTCTATTGTTTTGAATTTTTTCGTTAAAAATGTGTCGAATCGTTTCATTCAAGTAGTAGTTTACAATTGCTTAGTGATTTCTCGAATTCCTCTAGAAAATTTCTTGGTAATTTTGAAGAGCAAATGTATATTAGAAGCAGATGCCATCCTTTGACATCGACTTCTAGCAATTCCATGGTCTGTATACAGCTGTTGACAGTTCGTTGTAATGTTTGTATTGAATGTCTCCAGGTATATTAAAAAGTGTTTTTATCTCCTCATTTACTTGCATCCGTCTATTTTCATACCTATCAGTAAGATTTTTCCATGCAAGTTCAAATCCATCATTGGTCAATCATTTCAAGTGAGGTATTTTTTCTACGGTGCTTAGCCTTGGTCCTTTTATATAAATTGCCGTAAATAAGTCTCTAAATGTGGGCCATTCTCGATATCTTCCTTTAAAGGTGTCCGTATCGCGTGGTGGTAAGCGAGATACGGGAGCAAAATCCATATCCTTTCCCTGTTGTGTCATCAATGACTCCCGTTTTGTTTGTTCCAACATCTGTTTTTCTCCAACATTCTGTAATTGAATGTTGACGGCACTTAAAGTCGACTTGTTTTTAACAATAACCTTTTCTCCTTCCTCTGCTTCATGCTCTCTGCAATCGATATAAGCCCTCCTTACTTGACTCCAATTTGAATTCAATTCCAAACGTGTAGTTTCCAAAGTGACCTCAGTATCCTCTGGGTTGGTAATTGAAAAAATCGAAATAAAATCCAAGAAGTCGTTGACGCTGTTATCGAATTTGTCGGAAAATTTTTTTGTCCATCTTCTTAGTTGTGCGAGAAACCTTTAAAAAATTTGGTTTATTGTCCAAAATCTAAAAGAAGCCCAACGAGAAGGACTTACTCTGTTTAGAAATTCAAGTTTTCCTCAACTTTTTCTGGTTCAAAAGCGAGAAAGTATCTTTCTTTAAAATTTGCAACGAATTGCCCATTGGCAACTTTTTGTGGTTCAAAAGCGAGAAAGTACCTTTCTTTAAAATTTGCAACAAATTGCCTATTGGATCAATATTTCCAAAAACTACTGAGAAAATTTGGAAAAATATTAATTTTTGAACGCTTCGACTGTTATGCAGTTTTTCAATCCAAAATCTGGAGAATTTTTTTTTTATTTCAAAATTCGTCCTTAATCTTATTTGAATATAGTTGGATGAGCCAAATGTCAACTGTAAGAAGCTTTATCCAATTATAAATGAGAAAAAATATCCAGCTTCAAGGAAAACAAATGAAAGGAAAATATGTACAAAAAAAAAAAAAAATCAGTGAAATTGTATAGAAAATGAGTCAAAAAAGTGCGATGTATGCCAAAGTAGAAAATGTTTACTGGGTTGTCGTAAAATTCCGAAAAATGCAAATCCCAAAATGGTATAAAGTCTCTTACGATATCCATTTTTAGGAGGCTTTTATGGCTTTTCTAATTTAAACTTTTCTCCAAAAGTGAGATTCTTTAAAGTAGGGTCTGAAGATTTCTCTAAAGCGACAAATATTCAAAGTACGCTACAATTTTATTCAGCAACGATAGAGAAAAATAATTTTTGTCAAAATCCCAGATATTGTTTCCAAAAAGTTCTCAAAATGTAAAAAAAATCCAAAAATATTCCAAAAATGAAAAATTTCTGGGTCAAAAACAGCCTTTTCATCAAAACGAATTAAAAAGTTGCATGATTCCCAAAATGATTGCAAAAATTTTAGATCAAAGAAAGATAAAACAAAAAACTTTAAAAATTATAGAAATTAATTAAATTAATTAAAAAATATATGAAGATAATATTGTTAATTAAATTCCATCCGTCCACCAGACGCTGATAAAAAATGTTTCAAAAATGTTGATTT